CGCAGAACAGAATAATTTAGTATTAGGCCGCAGTATCAAATGGTGACGCCCGCTGGGGGTGGTGTGTGGGTTGCCAAGGTAAGCACACACACACCCACCCACTCCTCACCGCCCTCTTTACATTCCAATTCTCTGCTGCGCCTGCGACATCTCCTGCTGCGACTTGGGCGCCTTGATCGTCTCGTCCACCGAGAGAATGAGACAGGCGGCCTCGGTGGCGGCCGTCAGCGCGTTCCGCTTCACCACGCTGGGCTCCCAGACGCAGGCCTCGTAGTTGTCGCTGATGTCCTCGCTGCGCACGTCAATGCCGAACCACTTGCCGTCCTCCGCCTCGGCGTGCTTCTGTCGCAGCTTGTTCAGCAGGTTGATCGAGTCAAAGCCGGCATTGTCGCACAGCTGCCGGGGGATCACCTCCAGCGACTTGGCCATCGAGGCGATGATCAGCTGGTCCTTGCCGGCGATGGTCCGCGCGTAGTCGCGCAGGTACTTCGAGAGCTCCATCTCGATGGCGCCGCCGCCGGCGACGATCGAGTCGTTCTTCAGCGCCCGGCGGACGATCATGATGGCGTCGTGCAGGGAGCGCTCCGTCTCCTCGATGAACTGCTCGGCGCCGCCGCGCAGGATGATCGTCACCGTCTTCGAGTTGGGGCAGCCCTTGAAGAAATTGTATCTGAGGAGAAAGAGGAAGAGGTGTTAAATAGAAACCCCAAAGATACTCCAACAACAGCAATCCCTTACCGCTCCTTGCCCACTTGCAGCTCCTCAAAGANATTGTATCTGAGGAGAAAGAGGAAGAGGTGTTAAATAGAAACCCCAAAGATACTCCAACAACAGCAATCCCTTACCGCTCCTTGCCCACTTGCAGCTCCTCAAAGAACTCACAGCTGCCCAGATTGGCGTCCACCAGGTCGGAGACGGTGGTGAGAATGGCGCCGCCGCAGGCCTGCATCGTTCGGCGCAGGTCCTCCTCGACCACCCGCCCGGCGCAGAACATGTCCCGGTCGGCAAAGTACTGCGTTGCCACGTCGCCAATGGGCAGCTTCGAGAGGACCACCTTGGCGCCTGACTTGTAGATCTTCTCCAGCTTGTCGTAGAGGATGTTCCACTCGGCGTCCACCACCTTCTGGTACTCCTCCACCGAAGCGACGCGAATCTCCGCATTGTCCTTCTCCGCCTTCAGCTCCAGCTCAATGTTGAGCATGGCAATCTTCGGGTTGGAGTACTTCTTCGGCTGCATCTCAAAGCCTGCATAGGAGAAAGTCTTCTTGAAGGCGACGCCAGAGACGAGCAGCGACTCCTCCAGGGCGCCGCCCTGCTCCTTCTTGATGCCGATCATGTTCAGCGGCAGCAGCTCGTCCAGCTGTAATACTGCGTCGACGACCATCTTTGCGAAGAAGCTCTTCTGCTGCGAGACGATCTTGGAGCTAAGCGAGGTGAGGGCGCACTTCTCCAGCAGGTCGCGCTTCTTCGCCGGGTCGCTCTCGGTGAACTTGATCGAGAGGTCGGCGAGCTTCTGCAGCGCCAGCTGAAGGCCCTTGCGGAAGCTGCGAATGATGACCTGTGCGTGAACGCCCTCCTCGACGTAGGGCTTCACCTGCTTGAGGAACTCGGCGGCAATCAGGGTGACACTGGTGGTGCCATCGCCCACCTACGGTTAAAAGATTATTAGCACACTTTTAAGAAAACAAAAGAACAACGCCATGCACTTGCCTCATCGTCCTGCGATCGAGCAATGTCGACCAGCGTCTTTGCGCCCGGGTGGACAATGTCGAGCTTCTTGAGAATGGTGGCGCCGTCATTGGAGATGGTCACGTCGCCCTTCGCGTCAACGATCATCTTGTCCATGCCGCGCGGGCCTAGAGTGGTGCGCACCGCCTCGGCGATCGACTGACAGGCGTTGATGTTGCTGATCACCTGCTGCTTGCCCTGCTGATTCTCAGTGCC